AATCGAGTAAATATCTATTCATTAAATATTACTAAAATTTCATTTGTTTTTATTTTAGCTTCAATTATCAAATAAATTTGGTATGCTTAATGATATTGATCTTGATGATAATGATGATGTTCAAAGTCCAACAATCGATGATTAAAGTCATTGTGCATGTCTACTAGATTTATTTTTTCTATTTGTTGTTTGTTTATTGTCATTGAGAGAAAAAAAATCAAAAAAGAGAAAGAAACTAACGAACTTTATATACAAAGAGAACGTTCATCTTCTTCTTTTAATTCTTCAAGTTTTTTGTTCCTTCTTTATTTGTCCGAGATTTTTTGTCTGTTAGATTCTTTTTTTCCGTATGATGAGTTTTTTTTCATTTCTTTGTTACCGTTATGACCGCTTTATTTCTTTTTTTCACAAGAAAAGTTTTTTGTTGTTGATTGATGATTCTTTCACTATTACCCTAATAAAGACAAACATATATGAAATACTAAAGTTATTCTCTTTTTTTTTTTAGATATTTACTTGAATATATATTCTGATATTAATTAAATAAATCGCTTGTTGTCACGTTCTACATACGTATCTTTCAGATTGTTGTTTTTCTCTTTTTACATCATAGATAGTTGGTTTTTTCCGTCGCTGTATTTTATAGACAATCAGTAAGTAATCATATGACTCATGAGAGAGAAAGGAAGAAAGAGAATACAAAAAAAAATTGTATGTTTTTTATCAAGTTTCATATATGAGCTTGTATAATGCAACAAGTACCTGAATCTTCCTCTCAAACATCGATAATTACTAACGATGGTGGTAGTACAGATGCAGCGGATTGGGATTCAGTTCTCAGTTCGGCTTCTTCAACAATGAATAGTGATACAACTACAAAATCAACAGATAATCAATCATCCAAAGAAACAGCTGTAGAAGATTCCAATGAAGATTATTCTACTGTTATGAAGAATCCATGGGATCCATTAAGATCTAGTGATTGGGATAGTCAATTGCCAGATGCAACTTGTATAGCACGAATTAAACGGTAATTTGTATTTTTAATTAAAACAAAAATTTAATAAAATAAAATCTCTCTTCTGTTAGTGATATTTCAGGTATAATGAAAGATCCACCACCAGGAATGTTTATTTCACCTGATCCTGATAATCTTACTAAAGTATGAAGTATTTTTATTGAATTATAAGAGCTTTTTTCTTTTGTGTTTAGATTCATGCTCTTGTCATTGGTCCATTTGATACACCATATGAAGGTGGTTTTTTCTATTTTATTCTACGTTTTCCACCAAGTTATCCACATCGAGCACCTCGTTGTCGTTTAATGACTACTGGAAATAATACAGTTCGTTTTAATCCAAATCTCTATGCTAATGGTAAAGTTTGTTTATCAATTCTCGGGTAAGAATTTAACTAAACGAATATATCTTTATCAATTGATGTTTGTTTTAGCACTTGGACTGGTCCATCATGGTCTCCTGCTCAATGTTTATCATCTGTATTAATTTCAATTCAATCTCTCATGTCAGAAAATCCATATCATAATGAACCCGGTTTTGAACAAGAACGTACATCAGGTGATTCAAAAGCTTACAATGAAATAATAAAACACGAAACATTACGTGTTGCTGTTTGTGAAATGCTTGAAAATCAAAATTCTTGTCCAAAACAATTATAGTAATTTAATTTCAATTGAAATTAATAAATAAATATGTTTTGTTATCTTTTTTTTAGTGATGTAATCTGTAAACAATTTTTTGATTTTTATGATTATTATGTTGAAGTATGTACAGAAAATATGAGTAAAGATGGTCAACCAATGGAAGATCCCTTTCATGACCGTCGTGGACAATTTCAATATGCATCGATATTAAACCGTTTAAATAAATTAAAAACTACATTAGAAAATGATGATTCAACAAAAGAACAACATTCGTCAGTCGATGCACGTACTCAAGAAATTATGAATGATGCTTCTGCACTATATTCAAATCTTCCACCAGCAAGTAATGATATTCAACTTGATGATATATTTGACGAGGACGATGATGATGATGATGATGATAATGAAGATGTTGATAATGATGATATGGAACAATAGAGAAAAACGAATCCGTCAATTTGAATATAATTTATTTGTGATAACAAATCTTTTTCATCTCTTTATTTTATATAATTACATAATAAATCAAGATTATGTTCAGAACGAAATCTTATCTTTTTACACTTAAATAATGTAATATTTTCAAAAAATAAACGGGAAATTAAAACGAACAGTTGATATTGTAATAATAGTATTTTTATTTAGAAAGACACAACAAAATGTCATGACATTACTTGTAATACAGATTTAATGAAAGATTAAACGTTTATCAAGTGATCATCGTTACATAGCCTATTATTTTTCTAGGTAATTTAATTCCGTAATATTGTAGTAGATAATCTTTTATAGCGATTATTATTCTCGTAATGAAAACAGATTAATTTGTGTTTATAAATAAGAATATGTAAACATCTTAGTTTAATATATGTAATTCATCCAATAAAGAAGATAATAATCGTTTTGTTATTTGTTTATATAATATGCAATTTATGCGCTATCCAGCGTCATCTATTCATTATTCCATTTCTTAAAATTTCGATATAAAGGCTTTTATGACATGAAACAATTGGTACAAAAACAATTGATTGATTGTCGGATATCATCATCTGTCTTTCTTTCTCTTTTCAATCAAATAATATTTTCCAGATGGGTGCTTATTTATCATCTCCTATCTGTGATAAAGATACTATTGAAGGTTCAAATGATCGTTTAGCATTTGCTGCAAGTTCAATGCAAGGATGGCGAATGTCACAAGAAGTAAAATTTAATTGATATTTTGCTAAATTTTTTCTATTCGATTTATTTAGGATGCACATAATGCTATACTTAATTTTGATGATAATACATCTCTATTTGCTGTTTATGATGGTCATGGAGGAGCTGAAATAGCTGTTTATTGTTCACGATATTTACCAGAATTTCTTAAAAAACTTAGTTCTTATCAAGATGGACGATTAACTGAGGCATTAATTGAAGGTTTTCTTAAATTTGATTCAGTCTTACTTGATCCAAATGTTAAAAAAATGTTACAAAAAATTGCTTATGATGAAAATGAAGATGCTGACCAAAAACCACATGAATTTGTTGCATCATTAAATCCAAATGAAGAAAATCATCATAATGATGAATTAAATGTTGAAGAAGCACAATTATTAAAAAAAGAAGCTGAAGTACCTATTGAAGAACTTCTTAAACGTTATAATAGTGACGAAAAACATTGTCATTCATCAGATATTACTAAACAAACTAGTGAAACGAAAGATCAACCAGTCGTTGAAGAGATTGAGAATAATAATATTTCAACAACTAAATCTGATACTAATGAAGAAACGAAACCCACTGATGATGATGTTGTTATAGACAAGAGCACAGCAACTGTATGTACAATACTTTGATATTTTATTTAATAGTTTTGAGATTATTTAGGAAGCAAAACCATCATCATCTGAATCTAAATTACCAGCACGACGTCCTAGAAAACCAGTTTCTACTGATTCAGCAATACCATCAACGACAACTATTCAATCTGATTCTTTAACACGACATTTACTTGGTGATA